TGCATCTGTCACGAACGCTTTTTAGTTTTTTGGATATAAAAAACGGAAAAGCGTTTTTAAAAGGTTTATTGGTCGCAATAGACCCTTTTTGATAGTTTATTAATCTACGACTATTTTTTACAGTGTAGTTCTCTAAGGTATATGTTCAACATGTTAAGAAAATTTTTTTGAAAAGTGATGGTCTATTTTGATTTCTATCGTTTTCGTCTTGCTTATTGATTATTAGAAACGTATGGTTTTCAAGCTTTTTTTGGTATCTTAAACGAGAGCTAGATTTGTATATTGTCGATTTAACAGAAATAAGAAGTCCCAATTCATTTTGTGTATAAATTAGAATGACTATAGTAATAAATTACCCTTAAGAAGTCATGACGTCTACTAATAAATGAAAGAAAAAATGATTGATAGTTCAAACGTTATTGATAAATAATCAGATACTCCATTTTATTTAATGAACACAAATTAGTAAAATCTCATGTTACAGTTCACAAAAAGAACACGTTTTTAGTGTAGAGTCAGTTCAAGTAATTCTGATAATCGCCTAAAACTTTTCGAATATTTCGTGCATATTTAAGTTATCTTTCTCCGGAGAAAATCAGTATTATGCAGATAGATAGAGCTGAATCTTAGCTATTTACTGATGTAAAAATTTTCCTAAAATTCGTTAGCATTAATTAGTTCTAATCAATTTCCAGTGAATATGTTTAGAATTATCATAATTGCCCCATTTGGGATAATTGTGATAACTACAACCAAAATAGCTGGGATGAGCGTAAACCATTTAGTTTCAACAAGAAACGTGGAGTAAATTGACTAAAAATTACACCATCTTGTAGAAAAATTTCTGTTCTGTACCCCATATGAATTGTCAGTCATTTGAGCTTAATCTAAATTAGTTAATTAGAAATTACGAAAAGTAAAAGACATAGTCTTTTTTTCATTTGTCTTCTTTGGGGTCATAATGATAATTCTAAACATATTCATTGGAAATTGATTAGAACTAATTAACCCTAACGAATTTTAGGAAAATTTTACATCAGTAGATAGCTAAGAGTCAGCTCTATCCACCTGCATAATACTGATTTCCTCCGATGAAATATAACTTAAATATGCACAAAATATTTGAAAAGTTTTAGACGATTATCAGAATTACTCTATGTGACTCTATCTCTTTCGCTCAATACAAGTTTTCATCAACACTTATCCAATACAGCTGAGCACATAACATTTAAATCAATTTTTTTTAATATTTTGATTTTCTCTTTTGAATTCGGCGCGCGTTTTTGTTTTCTCTTTTATAACCTACAAAACAAAAGACTTCCGCGCCATTGCTTTCATTTAAAAAAGTAAATGTTTCATAGATACCACAATCATTTTTATTCATTAAAATTTGTCGTTATTGTCACATTTTCTATAAATTATTTAGCCAACATTAAAAGTTTGTTCGTTTTTATTTTATTTAAATTAAAATAAACATACCGTAACTTATAAAAATTAAAAATAGTTTAATCGTCCTTACCGATAAAAAGAAAGTATGTATTTTGATTCGAAAATCCAGTCCTATTTTTTATTGAAAATGCGTGTTTAGAATAAATGGCCAAACGACTATCTCGTCCGACAAAGAAAAGTGGTACCAGAAAAACAAAAAAGTCCACTAAACGTGGTCAAACGGCGTACAATATGTTTGTTAAAAGTGAACAACCACAAGTACGCAAACAACATCCACACATGAGCAATACAGAAGTATTCCAAGAAGTCGCAAAATTGTGGAAAGAACACAAACAAGTAAAGCATGAAAACAAATATATATCCATATTCCTTCACTTTTCCTTTTTTTTCTAGCAACATGGAATCGTAGGAAAAGAAAAAGGTAGCAAGCGTGCAAAATCTACTAAAAAACACGCCTCCAAATCTGTCAAACGATTAGTCTCAACAAAAAAACAAGCGTCAAAATCAAGAAAAGCATTTCAATCGGCCAAGCGATCAACTACAGTTAAAAAACAAAATTCTGGAATACGACAAGCGTCCAACTGGGACATTCCAACTACAGGATCAAAATTAGGAATGCATAGTAAAACGAACAAAAAGCAAGCAAATGAGCAATTGCATCAATCAGCCAGTCGGACATCTCAAAAATCAGCTTCAAAATAAAAAGAAATGCATAAGATGTCTTCTCAAAACGAGTAGGATCTCAAACAGCTACAAGTGCTTAAAAATTGAACATAATAACATTGCAAAAATATAGGATGTAGATCATTTTATCTCAAAATAAAGTAGCGTGTGAAATTCAAAAATCACTTTTCTTTTCAATGACGGCTTACGGTCTTGTACAAAATAATAGAAACAATTTGTTCTTAATTTTGTTCGCGTTCATAACCGCTAAAACGAATCCGAAAAAATATTTAAATAGCCGAAAGAATTTCCAACCTGGTATGATGCATACAAAAATTTCAACAAAATTTCTGAAATGAGGTCTCAACCTCACCAAATTCTAAAGAAATTTATTTAGTTCAAACAAGTCGAGTTTAAAATACCAAAACCATTTTCTTTCTTTAACCACACTAAACGAGGGCGAGTCATATAGAAACTGTGTCAATGAATTTGTCTTTTCTCTGATTAAGCGCCAGAACGACAATTAGTGGACGGGTGTCCGTCACTGAAGATACCAGTGACGTCTGATATATATATTCTCGACAGGAGTTGAGCAAAAAGTTACAGAAAGGCAGTCTCAAGGACTGCGTGCGTAGTAAAGATCAATTCAAGTTCCCAAGGCTTGAACTTTTCTGTAACGAAAAAGCGATTGTAAAACAAAATTTATTTACTAAATCCTAGAAAATCTAATCTCAGAATTCGATCGGAAACTGTTTGTTAATAACGCGGAGACGTCTCATTTTGTCGAAAAATGTCTGCTTTACTTCACTTAAGGTGAACAAAATGTGTGATACTTCATAAGTGGCAGCGCGACAGTACTCGGCTTTACCACTACATCTTCTACATATTTAGAATTGTAAGCATTTGCAACTACAAAAATATACAAAAGTGCGATCCCAGAACAATTCAAATCTTTGTTTATCTGGCCTACACTCTAAAAAAAATGCGACTTCTAGGAAGACGCGGAAGTCGGTTCCCATTTAGTCGTATTTTAGCGACTCTTTTGAAGTCACTTTGATGTGTCTTCTAGAAAAGACACATTAAAAAAAGTTTTCGTTCCTATCAAGAATTGAACTCGGTCTGTTCGCGCTTACCAGACGAATGTGTTCATCACTGAACCATACAGGCACATTAATTATTAGTCTTATTGGCCTCTTACGTTGACGTTTCATGTGAGACATTAAAAACCTAGTAGAGTCACATGGAAGGCGGGAAG